CGTGGGGGGGGGGGGCAGCCTTCGTTTTGTCGTGGATCATATGTTCTCTCGGCAATGTGTTGGTTGCTGGCTTAGTTTGCGTGTGTTTGCTCGTTCATGTGTTTGTCTGGTAGGCACCACGTATTTTGACCAAGCGTTTGATTCCTTTCGTGCGGCGACCAAAATGTGTAAGTGTGGGTTTTGTTCCCTGAATTTGGTTTGTACCCCTCTATTGTGCGCGGTCGTCCCCACTCTTTTGGCGTCTCTCGCGCGGCATCTCGAAAATTGGTGCTATACAACGCGTGGCCAACCGTAATGTTCCAGAGGGTCAAAGGAAGTAATAAAAACTCCCGCACCCGCACCCTAGACATATTATTTTCCTTGCTCCACTCTTCTCACCAAGAGGACAGCAGCCTGCAGTTTACTTGAGAGGTTATGCATCGAACGAATCCCCCCCCTCCCCCCCCCTCCGGTATCTGATCGTCGTGGCCACCTTGTGCAACGCAGATGGCGGGCTTCTACCGATCAGGCTACACCACCGTGGACGGAGAGAAGCGGGTCATGGCCTCCACGCAGTTCGAGGCTCTCGACGCCAGGCGCTGCTTCCCGTGCTGGGACGAGCCCGCCCGCAAGGCTGTCTTCCAGGTGTGTATGCAGTACTGTCTGCTGTGCCCCACCCCCACCCCCACCTCCTCCAGCAGCAGCAGCCACCGCAGTGTGCATGAGACAAGTTGGAAAGAGAGAGGGGGAGTGCGCTAGGAATAGAAAAGTAGGACTGACTCTGGTATTCCGTCAATCCTCCTCTTGCAGCGATTGATTAGATAACGATTACTGAGAAAATACATGTGATGTGCGACTCCACCCCCCCTCCCCCGCGTGCGCGTACGCTCAGTTTTTTAACAGTTCTTGGTGCCCACATGGCTCGGTCTGCTGTCTGTTGTCGTTGTTTGCATCGCTCTGGGCTACATCCTGTTGGCGTGGAACGTGTGGTTTTCTTTCATTTTGATCTTTGGTGCCGTTCATGTCCGTGTGCGCACTTGTTGACGCTGCTGGCATCTCGTGCGCCGCAAGCATACGACGATCGCTGCTGTGCGCACTGCTTGTTTGTGTTGCGTCGTGCAAGACGGTTCCATGAACACAACTCTTTTTTCACGCATCGCCTCTTGGTTCTTTCTCTCTCTCCCTCCTGACACTCTACCTTCCGGGCATGTGCGTGCGTGCTTCCGTGCCTGGGTGCAGGTGACCCTCGTGGTGCCGAGGGACCGCATGGCGTTCAGCAACATGCCGGAGAGGGTGGTGACCGACCTGCCCGGAGGAAAGCTCAAGGAATTCCAGTTCATGCCGTCTCCTAAGGCACGTAGCCTTCTCGCCTTCGTATGTTTTTGTTGGGGGGGAGAGGGTTTGATTAAGAACGGCTAATCCATTCGACTACTTAGTCAGCGCTGATAAGTAGCCTAATGGATAACAAGGAGGCTGAGAGGGCGTGCATAAGCTATAGATGCAAAGGGTTTTAGAAACACTTCGCAAAATAGATCGCGGAGGGGGGGGGGGCTGGGGGGCGTCTGTGTTTCTGTGTGTGATACACGCCAAATGAGGGGGGGTTACCGAGGGTACTGTTTTCGACCTAATGGTCGCCTTCTTCGTTCGACGCAGTTGACTACAGGTCGCCCCCCTCCGTTGTGTTCTCGCCCACCACGACCAGCGGCACCGCAACCTGAACACCCCCCTCCCCCCTCCCTAATCAATATGAAATACAGATGTCGTCCTACCTGCTAGCGTTCTGCGTGGGGGAGTTCGACTACGTGCAGGGGTCCACCAAGGAGGGTAGGGTCGGGGTGAGGGTGTACACGCCGCCTGGCAAGAGCCACCTGGGAACCTTCGCCCTGGAGGTGGCCGAGAAGACTTTGGACCTCTACGACAACTTCTTCCAGGAAAGGTGTGAAGGCATAGGTATATACCATACCATCCGTGAACCGGTAGACACTCAAATTCAGCGCTTTCAAGTAGAGGTATGTGTACGTATCCATGAACGACAGGTATACTTGAATAACATGCTGTCATGTACAAAGAGGAAGGAAGCACCAGGTGTGCTATGTACGTGGCGGCACGTTTGTTTTCACTTTTTTTTTTTTCCGTTTTCCTTGTATCACAGCAGTTGGGATCCTCTCTGGTTCCTCTCTCTCTCTGTTTTCAGCCACACTGAGACTGGCGTCTTTTCATCGGTCAGTCGGTTAGCGTTACTAGCAATAAATATACACTCGCACGCCGTCGGTCTCAGGTACCCGCTGCCCAAGCTGGACATGGTGGCCATCCCGGAGTTCGCCATGGGGGCCATGGAGAACTGGGGGTTGGTCACGTACCGGGAGGTCGACCTCCTCATCGACGAGGTGTGTTAAGCCATAGCATTGCTTCCAGTGCCCGGGATGTGTTACATCCACAAAAACGATGGCGTGAAAAAGTTGCGTCCTTGCTTGAAAAATTCCTGCCCGTTTGTGGGTTACGACGTGTGGCATACACATGTGGTTGGGTTGGGCTACTTCGGTGTCGCGAACTTTTGGAATTTTGTTGGTGCTATTGTTTTGGTCATGGGAGCGAGGTCGTCGTGTGCGGTGCCACCATCAGCAAGGGGCAGGTAGCGTGCTCCCTCCCATCTTAGAAGGCGGATCTACCGTTGTGCGTGTGCGTTGTGTTCATGTGTTTATCTGCGCGAGAGCTGCACGGGGTGGCACAGCAGTCAGTCGTCGCCCTAGACCCCCCCCCCCCCCCCCCGCAACACATCTTCCAGGGACCTTGACTTTACCCGGTGGCACTGACATATTTCCACTGGTCAGCCGGTTAGCGTGGTCGATGCTATTTAGTACTATAATGCTATATACGCACACACGCACGGCGGACGTGAGAGAAAAGAACCTGCTCGCGTTCTTTTTTTTTTACTGCCTTGGGCCATCACACTCCTTGTCGCCGGTGAGATGGTTACTGTACGGTAGCTTGGTCGATGCCGACTGAAGAACACACACAGAAACAGCAGCAGCAGCAGTACACACGCACGCTCTCTACTAGAAAATGACGTTATTGTCGTCGTCGTCGTGGTTTTGTGCGGAGGGATTTCTCGCTGATCGACCGGAGGTGCGAAGGCCTCGCGTTTTTTCCCAGGTTGGCGGTAGTTCGATGTCTGCGGTGGCTTGTCCCTCCTCGAAAGCAGGCAGCGTTGTTTCGGCCTTTGCGTGTGCGTCTTATTTTAGCGTCGACCGAGCCACCAATGAGGAACAAAGCACAACGTTTGTGTGTGTGCCGTCTCACAACGTCACTCTTTTTTTTTTTTCCACCTTTCGGTATGTTTTGTGGGCGCATCAGCCTGTGGGTGGGTCACACACCGGAGGAAGGCCGCCACAGAATTTTCTTCGCTTTTTTTTTTTTTTTTCTCCGCCTTTCTTCGGCGGTGTTATTTGGTTGGTGCCAAGAAATTATAAACCGGTGTGGTGTCGCCCTGTTCCATGAATACCCTCGCCTCTTGGCCTGCGATGTAGGTTTGTCTTTGGAGAGGGAGGGTGGGGTTGAGAAAGACTCTTTTTAAAGTAGGCGGAAGCGAAACGCAGACGCATCACAGCACATGCACAAAGAGCAAGCTGGAGAGGAACCTGCAGCAGTGCGGAGGGGGGTTCACAACAAGACATAGTTCTGCAGCAGCAATGCCTACGCGTGTTGCGGAAGCGTTGATGCGGCCCCGTGTTGCGCGCGCGCGCACGCACGAAGCTCACACACCCTTTTCCTCTCACGTGCTGGTGTTGCTTTCCCGCCGCCGCCATCGCCGCTTCTGCAGGCCCAAGCGGCGAGCCAACAACGACAGCGTGTGTGCTCTGTCATCACGCACGAGCTGGCCCACCAGTGGTTCGGCAACCTCGTCACGATGCAATGGTGTGTGTACGAACAACAAAATACACTAAAAACAGACTCAAAACAGACTCAATACGGACTCAAGATAACCCGGTGTGGTGTCCGGCCAAATCCCTTGGCAATATGCAGCCTTACACGGGGACCATTCCTGCTATGCCTCGGGGCGTTTTTTACACATACATATATGGAAGGTGGGGCACGAAAATATACAAAAAGAAGAAGAAAGCCCTGTGTTTACCCCCTCCTGTGTGATTCTGGGTGGTCGCAGTTGTACGAAAAATACGCTGAAAAGTGTAGTACACATCTCACCACGAAAAATGGGGAAGACTGTCGCCATAGTAAATACTGTAAGGACAGTGTTTTTTTTGCTTCTGACCAGGCGAGACGTGACCAGAGGAGATGACGAAGACCGCAATCGACATACAGCAACAACAACAACAAAATCTGTGCCCTTGACGTGTAGTGCCCATCCGATCTTTTTTTTGTCCTGTTTTTTGTTTTGTTTTTTAAGGTGGGACGACCTGTGGCTGAACGAGGGCTTCGCGTCGTGGATGCAGGTGCGGGAAAAAAAAAATGGGAGGGCTTCTGTGGGGCAAACAGAGTTCATGAAAGTGATTGGTGCTCTCTTTTTGGCATCCATACAATGACGTGTGTCTGGCCGTTGGTGTGTACAGACGTCGTGCACATCTGCATATACGAGCCGTTGTCCGTTCGATCTGGCTCCCATTTACGTGCCCTACAATTTGCCCCATCAACACAAGTTTCGGGTATGTCATGTTGCGTCACCCGCGGGACGCTTGACACCCCCGCGGGAGACCTTGCGTGCATACATTTTTCCCACGCCCAAACCACCACCTCAACCCCCTCCCGCCCCCACCCCCCTTCTCGTCGCCCTCATGCGTTCATGTCTCGCTCCTATGTATGTCCCAACCACCACGTCACCCCCCACGCCCGGGTGCACGTCCATGGCCCCCCTAGACCTACGCGGCAGACCAGCTTTTCCCGGAATGGGGCATGTGGCAGCAGTTCGTGGTCGACGACCAGCAGGCGGCCCTCCGGCTTGACTCCCTCCGTTCTTCGCACCCCATCCAGGTTAGGTTAGGTTCGTTGGTGGCCCCGCCGAGGGTCGTTGGGGGGGGGGAAGGGGTACTCATGTTTTGCATGCCATGCCTTAGTTGTTTGAGCATTGGCCACGCGTCCTCGAGAGGAGGGGGGGAGTTGCTGCTTCGAGTTGCGTTTTTTGTTTTCGTTCCTTTTCACGCCACGCCATTGACGATCGGGCAGACAGCGGGGGGGGTGTATGTCCTCGTCGGCAAGAGAGAGAGAGAGAGAGAGAGAGAGAGAGAGTGGGTGTGTGTGTGTGTGAGAGAGAGAGAGAGAGAAGGACTTTGTCTGTGCTGGCCATCCCGCTTGTTTTGTGGGCCCCAGTTTTCTCCACCTTCGGGTGTGTTTGGACATCACCAGCCGGGGTCACCCAAGGCAATGTTTCTCTTCAAAATTATTTCGAGCTATTGGTAGCACGGATTGAAACGAAACCGAGCGTACCCGAAACAAGCGTTACACTGAAATTGAAACGTACGCTATGTTGGCATTGGGAATACGGGTTCTCGTGTTGGTACGTGTTTGTAGAAGGATGATCATCCCCGTTCTGCCGTGCGTGGGCTAGCGTGCCCTCTTGATAACAAGGTCGTGAGCCATCAGCGTTTTCTTCACGCCTCTAGCGATAAGCACCCACTGCCACCCCCAACACGTGACGTTAGGTGCCGATCGGGCACGCCGAGGAGGTGGAGCAGGTGTTCGACGCCATCAGCTACTGCAAGGGGGCGTGCGTGGTGAAGATGCTCAACGCCGTCCTCGGCATGGACATGTTCAAGAAGGGCCTCCAGGTGACACAGAGCTGCAGTAGCTGGTATGGAGCATCCTGGCCACTGTACCTGCTAGTCGGGCGCTGATTGGACGGAAAGAGTCTATCTAGGAAGATTTGATTGGTGTAGACATGTTCAAGAAGGGCCTCCAGGTGACACAGCAGTCGGGCGCTGATTGGACAAGTCTCAAGATGATGGACGGAAGGAGTTTTATCTATAATAGGAAGATTTGATTGGTATAGACATGTTCAAGAAGGGTCTTCATGTGAGACAGACGGGCGCTGATGATTGACGGGGGCCAAGGGTGCCCAAAGAAAAGTGAAAACGACACCTACGTCCTAGAGAGGTCGAAATGAAAAAACAATCAGTGGTGCCGAATGGCGAGAAAAGTTGAAAAAATAAAGTTTTTTGGATCTTTTTTTTTACCTGATTTTCGTCTGGTCCATTATTCCAGATATTGCAATACTATGGCAATGCTATGGTGCGTCTCTTGCTGACTGCGTTGTATGAAGACGATACACGTACATGGAAGAGCTGTGCTCGTTCGAGAAAAAATTATCGACGGCGGTGGGTTGGCAGTCTCGAGTCTTTCGAAGACTGAGTAACACCTGCTGCAGGATGCGGGGGACCCTTTGTTGAGTCCGTGTGAAAGCTGCAACACCGCACGTACCCCCCTCGGTCCCGCGCGTCACGCCACCCCCAGACGTTCCACGACCATGCTGCCCCCCCCCCCTCTCTCTTATCCCTGCGACACGCTTTTGGCTAGCGCAAGCTCTCTTCGTCTCTGTGAACCACCCACAAGCTTGACAAGCGTTTTGACGCGTGATTCATTTTGGCGTACGCCATCCGGTGAACCATACCAGCGTCTCCCGTTCCTCGTGCCACCCCGGTGCCATTTGCTGCTACGGCCATGACCAGGAGTACATGAAGAAGCACAAGTACGGCAACACGGAGACGTACGACCTCTGGGACGCGTGGTCGCAGGTCTCGGGCAAGGACATCGGGCAGGTGTGTGAGATGTGACGAGTGCCGTACTGCGGTGCTTGTTTTTTTTTTGTTTTACTGTTTTTTTTTTGTTTTACTGGGATGTTGTTGGGGGTTCCGCTAGCTAGTTTTTTTTCTCCTTCTTACGATGGCAATTTTTTTTTCTTTCAAAAAAATCTTTGTTAACATGAACATGAAAACATAGTTCTACCTCTGTCCTCGTACAGTAAGAAGTGCAGGATGAATTGCAAGACTTGATATTTAAGTGTTACCTGCGAGCTACCCGTGTTGTTGCCGTACCGATGGTTTGTTATGGTTTGCGGCAGCTGCTGCTGTAAAGTTGTCGTGAGAGGTGGTGGTGTTGTTGTTGGTGTCATCTTGGTTGGTATGTTTTTTCGTGGCCAATGTGCCGCCGGTGATGTGATGATATCGCAAGGGTTTCGACGCCTCGAGATGTCATCGACCTCGTAGTGACAGTCGGCTTGAGACCCATCATTTTCCCACATTTTCTCTTTCCAGCATTGTAGCCCACGAGACCGTCCTTTCTTCTCCTCTTGTTGATTGTTTTTTGTATCCTACATATGTTTGATTTTTTTTTTTTTCTTCCTTCACGGCCGTCTCTTTGCAGAGAGCGCGTGCAACAACAATAACAGCTTATTCCATTAATTTTTTGGTGCACATGATGGACATTCGACAACGATTTCATGCACGGCGGGCATCTGTCTCACCTTTTCTCCTTGCTCTTCATCCCCCCGTGCCTCTTGACCATTGTTTTTCACCCCCCCCTTTTTCTATCGGCAGATGATGCGATCATGGACAGAGCAGATGGGCCACCCTTTGGCCACCATCACGAAGGAGACCTGGGAAGCGACTTCCTGCACTCTGGAGTTCCGGCAGTCGTGGTGTGTGAGGGCGGCAAAGCATCCCCTTCTTCTTTCAATAATTTACTTACTCTTACGCTTACTCTACGACAACAACAAATGAATACCTTCCAAAGATAGAATAATCTGGGATAGATGAGCAACGAATTCTACATAGCGTCAGCGGAACTTCCTGTGTTTCTCGATTCTTTCTGTTCATCTCTGTTCCTTCCTTGTTCGGTCGTGAATTTTTGCCACCGTCTCTCCGCCAGGCTCACCTGTATGTGCCATCTGGTGAAACAGTGGTCAGAAGTTTTGAGAGTTGAAGCTCATGCTTCCCTGAATGGGTCTGGGTCGTCTTCCTTGCGGGGATGGATGTAGCTGCTGAATCTTCGGACAGGGGGGGGGGGCACGCAGAAATCACCGCTCGAAGTGTTTGTTCTAGCTTGAATCACTTAGTGGAAGGCCTACACAAGAATTTGTAGATATAGGTGCAACAGTATGGAAGCAAATGTAGGTCAACCCCCTCCTGTAGAAAGTTCAACACGTGCCATATCCACAATCATCCCGGAACGGGTTGGAGTCCTTCTGTCATGTTTGTTGTGACGTTCGGCACAATATTTTCGAAAGACATCGGGCTTCCATTTTTCCCCCGGAGTCCATCCGAACCCCGCTATGCGTGAATTTCTGCGTCGTTGTTCTTGATCATGCCGTACAGTACTACCCTGCAGCGAAAGAAAACAAGCGAAGAATATCTAACGTCGTGGATGTTCGGATGACGCCTTGGTATATATGTTGCTCCGCGGACGGTCGTACAAGCGCTCAAAGACCCCAAAATGCCAGAGTACGAAGTCTCCGTCGATCGATTACACGTAGTACTGCCGTAGATTGGCAGATATAATTTCGCTTGACGTTGCCGCAACATTTTTGTTGTTGCTTTTGTGTGCATGTGATGATGCATAAAATGCCTTGTTTTGTTAAGGAAAGCGTTTATGTTTGACGGCTGCAGGTTCCTGGCGGATGGGTCCGAGGTGCAAGGGGAGGAGAAGCAGCTCTGGAACCTTCCCCTCCTGTACTCTACCGCCTCCGACCCCAAGGAGTCCAAGCTGGAGATGATGGCCGGGGAGACGCACACCCTCAAGGTAGTGCATGTCTTGACAGCGTTGAGAGAGAAGAGAGAGAGGGAGAGGGAGAGACAGACAGACGGGGGGACAGATAGACAGACGCACACCTTTAGGGGGTGCGTGTGTTGGTACATGTGGTATGTCTTGACAGAGTTGAGAGACAGGGAGAGACAGAGACAGACCGACAGGAGAATGACAGAGAGAGAGAGACAGAGGGAGAGGGAGAGGGAGAGGGAGAGGGAGAGGGAGAGGGAGAGGGAGAGGGAGAGAGAGAGACAGAGGGAGAGAGAGTGGAGGTGCATTTCTCCTGTTTTCGGCGCTTGAGTGCTTGGATGTGTGTCTGTCTGTACAATTGAATTGTACAATACCCCTCTCTCTTTCTTCTGTTCTGGCGTTCAATCCCGTCTGTGGTGTTTCGTGTGACCCTTTTCTTTTCTTTTCTTTTCTTTTCTTTTCTTTTTTCTGGCATGTGTTCTTGATGGTCATCTTTTTCTTTGACATCGTGTCTGTCCTTTGCTCTCCTCCTCTGCTCGGTCAGCCAGCCGTCTGCGTTCTTGACATGGAGCCCAGTGCCTTGCTTGTTTTGCTCCTGCACAGCAGCAGTCTACATAGGCATCATCGCCGCTCTCCCCTCACATATAGCACCGGCCGGCTCCCCCCTGATTCGCCTCCTTCTAGTACTAAAACGTCCTCTCTGCTGTGTTGTTTGTGCATAGGTGGAGCTGAAGGACAAGGACGATTGGGTGAAGATCAACGCCGGGCAACACACGCTGATGCGGGTGCTGTACACCCCGGAGATGATGAAACGCCTCGAGCGGGGCGTGAGGGACCGGACGCTCGCGCCGGAGGTAAAAGAAAAGCTTGATGAACGAAGGGGATCGTTTTCTTTTAGTTTCTTGGTGTGTCGTGCGCACGTGTACAAGAGGTTTTCGGAACTTTTTTTCTTGGCACGAAAAAAGGCGGCCAACTGGTACGTTTTAGAAGAAATTGTTTTTTTTTTCCTTCCAGGAAGCAGAAAATATCAAAGTAATGATGCATTGTTCACCGCGCAAAGCACGCAGCTGCTGTTGTGATGTATAGGTTTTTGTTAATTTTTGTTTTGCTCTCGAAGCACGTCTGTTTTTGCGCGACACCCGGCGGCGGGCTCACACGACCAACCCCGCGAACGGAACTAAAAAGCAGTGACAGGCAGCAAGTGTGCCACCGCCACTGATGCTGTTGCTGACTGCTGCTGGCGATGTGATGGTAATAATGGCGTCGTCGATGCTGTTGTGACATCTCGTCGTGATGATGAAACCGAACACGTCGGTTGATACATGGCATGCACCGGCAGCATTTATTGACGGCGCTGTTCATTGTTGTACGAACTGTCGCTGCTGCGCCCCAACAACGGTATATGACGCGGTGGCGACTTGATGGTGGTGGGTGGGTAAAAATGAAAGAAAGAGAAATAAATTCGACGACGCTTACAGGACCGCGCGAGCATCGTTTCGGACGCCTACGCGCTGGTGAAGGCCGGCCGCATGGGCGCCGACCAGCTGGTTCGGCTGCTGCCGGCGTACAAGGAAGAGGACAACAGCACGGTGTGGAAGGCGGTGGACAGCGTGCTCCTCGGCCTCGACAAGGTAAAGCTGCTGTATGTACATCACTCGTATGTTGTTGTTGTTGTTGTTGTTGTTGTTGCTATGGTTGTCTTCGCACATATCTCGATCCAGTGCCTCTCCTTCTTCCCGTGCTGTTGTTGTGGTTGGTGATGGTGGTGGGATTGTCGTTGTTGTTGTTGTCATCGTCGGTGGTGGTGTTGGTGGTAACGGTCGTGCTTGTACCTGGTCAGAGCATACCTGAAGGCCGGCTGTGCTGTAATAGTCATGTTGCCTTCCCAGCTTGGTGACCGATCTTTTGTGCGGGACCTCCCCCCACACAAACAAGCAAAACAAAGTCTCTAAGCATCGTTACGCCCACATTCTCCCTCTCTCCCTCTCTCTCTCTCTCTTTCTCTCTCTTTCTTTCCTACAACTGCCGGTGCCTATTTTCTCCGTTTTTTGTTATCCCCTTCTTGTTTCAGATCCTCAAGGCCGACGAGGCGATGAGCAAGCGGTTCTCCAAGCTAGCGGCCGGCCTGCTCGAGCCGATCGCCGCCAAGGTGGGCTGGGAGCCGAAGGACACGGACGGGCACTCGGGAAAGCTTCTCCGCGCGACTGTCATCGAGCTCCTGGCCACGTGAGTTTTTTTTTTTTATGTGGTGAGGTCCGGGTGTATGAAGAGTTTATCATTTTATCATGCGGAGGAATACCCCGTCGTGGCGGGTGTGTGGGCCGTCCGACAATGTTTTGCGTGTGCGTCCTTGGTACCGCACCAGCAAGAGTGCGTCGATGGAACCTCCATCCCGCCGCCGGGGCAGGGGGGGGTCTGCAAACCGTACCGAATGCTATCTGTACGTGCATGTGCGAGATTCCGAAAGAAAACAAGCGCATGAGATCCCTGGTGCACGGCGGTGAAGGGACGATGGCATCTATCTTTCATGGCAGGAAGGAGACCTCCGGGTTGCACGTGAGGAGTTCTCGGGCGGAATCGTTCGTAAATAAAAAGTACGAATAAAAATATCTTTTGTATCTTTTTCATTTTTTTTTTCCGCTGAACAATGTCGGGTACATACCACAAGTGATCCATCCCTCCCGAGTGGGCGTCTCGAGAGAGCGCACACATGTAGTGTCATCAAGGGGTGATGATGCAAGATGAAGATAGAATCAGGCAGCAGGACCAATTCCCGCCGCTGACTTTAGGCTGCGGTGCGACGTTTCCCAAGCTCAATAGCTGACGTGTTTTTGACTCGAATACCCCAAAGATATTCTTGAGACTCTTTGAGAAAGTTTTGTAAATCAACACACAAAAAGAGAATAATTCCTCTTTTTTTGATAATTCCTTCCTTGAGAAAACTTTTGCAAGTCAGTACATACACGGAGAATAGTTCCTCTTTTTTTTTTCAATTCCTTTCCGTGTGACGCAGGTTCTCGGCGGACTCCGCGGAGGTCCAGAAGGAGGCCCAGGAACGGTTCGCCGCCCACATCGACAACCCTAAGGAGGGCAAGGCTCTGCCCAGCGAGTACGCGATCCCGGTGTACAAGATCGTCCTCAAGGCCGGCGGTCAGGAGGAGTTCGACCAGGTAGATAGATACTGCAGGTCTTTTGATATACTTGTATATTTTTGTCAGTATGACCCAACGAATCCATCTATATCGAAGAAAAGAGTCAAAGACAGATTAGCATGAATCCATAGCGTCAGCGAAAGTTCTGTTTATCCACGATTTCCCGAGGAGCACACAGTGATATCTCCCCCGTGGGTATAACAGCGAGATCTCCCCCGTGGGTAACAGGGTCAACAAGACAGTCTTTTAAACTTTTTTTTTCGCCACTATTGCATGCGTGTAGCCTCGGTTGGCTTTAAAGTCTTGCCGATCAGGTACAGGTCTGGATCTTTTTTTTTTCGGCGCTGATGCATGCATGTATAGCCTCGGTTTTTGTTCTCGAAGACTTGCATGTATGCGTATTTACGTGCGCGTTCTGTTGTTGCTATTGTGTCTTTTGATTCTTGTGTTGGTTTGCTTGCTGTGCCTTTTTTTTGGTGTAATCGCTCTTGTCTGTTTGTCAAGCGTCCGGCACTTCTTTCCAGAATAATCTAAATAGTCGAAAAAAAATCGCCCAAGACGATTCGGTGAAAGCATCTTGACAACAAAAAGCTGTCATAGAAGTACATATTTACATCTCCTGTTGCGTGTCCCGTTCGCACGCAGCTCATGGGGCTGCTCGAGCAATGCGACAACCAGGCGGAGAGGAAGATGGTCTACGGGTCGATCGGGTCCACCCCAACCGCGGCGCTAAAGAAGCAGGTCCTCGAGTGGTCGGTATCGTCGGTGAAGCTGCAGGACTTCTTCTACCCGCTCAACAGGTGATGTCGAGACTGAGATTTGGTTGCACGCTTCCTTTCATCATTGCCTTTTGTCGTTTCATGTTGTTGGAGGGGGGTGGGGGAGTGATTGGCTATTGATATTCCGGGGGCGGGGGCGGGGGGGGTCGTCGAAGTGCAGAGAAGTTCTCCCGCCCGTTTTCTGTTTGGGATGTTGGCATGACCCCCAAGATACGGGTTTTGTCTCTTGGACATTGTCTGGGTTTCGACGAGAGGGCGGGCGAAAGCGTCGTCGCTGAAAGTGTTGGTCTTGGAGCAAAGACTCAGTGTTTGCGAGGGGTTGTATTGTAGTAGTGGGGTGGAAATACCTGACGCAAGAGGGTTTTGGGACGAGAGTGCGCCAAACCGGCGTCACCGTGCACGGAGCAGCACACTCTACGTATGGCTCCCTTCCCACCGGTGTGTTGGACGCATTCTCCCCCAAAATGGAAACGGTTTCTTTTTTTTTGTTTTCAACCACAAACCGCAGCGTGGCGTCTTCCGGCAAGCTGGGGCAGGACCTCACGTGGGAGTTCTTCCAAGCGAACTTCGAGAGGATCAAGGGCATGCTCGCCAAGGCGTCGCCCTCTCTCATGGACGCGGTGATATTGTACTGTTGCGGGGGCTTCACTGAGGAGGACAGGATGGAGGAGGTACGGTAGATACGCAGGCGCTGGGGGGTGGATTGGACAAGAAAGTTGACTAATATGATGGGTGGGGGGCCAAGCTGTTCGTGGAGATACATGGGAACGGAGGCGTTTCATGTCGAGCTGCGGGGGTGGATGGGACGAGTATGATTGGGGGGGTCAGGCTGTTCGTGACTGCCGGCATTGTTTGTTCGTATCTGACGATCAGACATGGGGGCCAATTAAAACATTTCTCCCCTGTGGAAAACCTCCTCGCTTGTTTACTGACCCTTATTCTTTCCCGTGTGCGTGCGCTTTATTTGACCTATTTAATTGCTTCTTCTGTCTACGCACCCGGCGTTTTTCGTATGTGGACGTCAGACACGGCCATCTCTTCTTTCTCCCCAGTGGAAAACGTCACTTGCCCTCATTCTTGGCCGTGCGTACACAAGCTTGACTTGAACTGATCGAAATGCTTGTTCTGCGTCCACACCCACCGGTCCGGCGGCGGCGATACAGGTGAAGGCGTTCTTCGAGGCGAACCCCGTGCCCAACAGCGCGCGCAAGCTTTCGCAGATGTTGGAGTCGATGGCGATCAACGTGCGCTTCTTCAAGACCATCGCGGCTTCGCCGCTGGCGACGGAGGCCTTCTGGGAGGGGTTGGAGGTCTGATGACCCCCTCCCTCGTATCATATCACAACAACAGCAGTGCTTCGCGCTGTGCGAATGCGTGCTTCTTGTTCTGATTTACGAGAGTTAGACGTGCTCGTGAACAGGAACGGGTGCGTGGGGCTTGTGGCGACGTCATACACGGGCCGTATGTAGCACTAGATAAAACAAAACCACACCCCATGGATGGTATAGGGGCCACACGGAGGGAGTGCTCATCGCGTGGTGGGGCGAGAGAGAGAAAGGGACAGACGTACATGGCAGCCAGCTCGGGCTTTCGTTTCATGATATGTAAGAGCAATGACGACGTTGCTACTACTTTGAGAGCCGAAAGCCACTTCAGCCCGAGACCGCGCATTCTTTGCAACGCGGGAGCTGCAAGCATGAGCCGCGTGATCAGGCCCCCCGACAGCCACCCGGCCTACGAGCGGGGGGGGTGCGTATGACCCCCATGGCGTCAATTGTGGTGTCGCCCTCTAGGTCTGTATCTAGCGTAACCTCTCAGGAGAAGAGCATCGGGAGCCCGAAATCCCGAACGCCAACCATGCGCAGGTCTACAAACTTGAGAGAAGTTGCTGCATGGCATTTGGTTTTGGTGATGCCTCTTGTCTTCCCCGCGTGTTGGGCTGACGGGGGGTGCTTGGCCTGTTTGATGGAAACGAAACGTTCCTCGTGGGTGTTGGGCGTGGTCGGTATGGTGTTGGCGACGTTTTTTTTATCGTCGTGTCGTGTTATTGCTTCCTGTCTATTGTTGTCCGGCGTGTGGTAGTGGGGTAGATAACAAGCGCGTGATTCGGCGAAAAGAAAAGAACGCGAAGCAGAAGAGCTAAATAAGTGCATTTGCGTGGTTTGAACTGGAATCTCAACTCGAGAAACAAACAATGCGAAGGTGGAGATCTTGGTTACACCCGAATGACTGCCCTGTGTACAAGTAGGACTAAATAATGCAAGAAGTGATTGGCGCTCCCTTCTTGCAGAACATGGCGTCCGTCCCTCTCACTGGAGTCTTGGCACTCATTCTAATGCTTTCTTGCGGGTCGTACCAAGTACGACGCCAGCATGGACCCTGGAAACTACGCTCCCGAATCAATCGACTGAAAGATCTTTTTTTGCCTCTTTGTGTACTCCCCGACTACTTGCGGAACCCGAAACCACAGCGCCGCGCACCAAGTCCGACGGCGAGATTGAATTGAATCCGTTGGCCTGCAAAACCAGTGGGCCAAAAGGTAAGGCAAGCACGCTCCAACAAAAAATTCCATTCAATATCCCCCGAGGCCGGTGGAGAGAGCAGACTTTAAGGAGACAGACTGGCGTCATGGTGTTCGTTATCTCCACCCGTGAGCCTTCCCGGAAAATATTCAGGGCTGGGGATGAAATCTTAATTTACGAACTGTTTTGTCTCCGCGTGAAAGGGAGCCCATCCGCCCCAGCCAGCTGCTGTGTTGGGTGTAAAAAAGCGCCCCTCTCGTTACTAAGACACAGGGTGACTGGCCGGCTTTGAAACAGAGGGGCCATGTGTCCAATCGTGCCAGCTTTTTGGCCAACGAAAGGGCGCACGTCACCCCCGAATGGATGGGCAGCTACACTAGGTCTTGCGATCAATCCCTGCGCCCCTCGTCAGGGATACCATACCAGCGTCTGCCGCCGAAACTCGTTCAAAAATAAAAACTCGAGCCAAATCAAGACAAGACTACAGCTCGACCGTGCAGGCCATAATTGACACACCCTAAAGCCATCTGCCCAAGATCCATCTTTTGCTCTTTACTCGTTGCGTGAGGCGAGAAAGTTGGCCGAGCTGAAACAAACAAAAAAAACACCTTCTTGACGGAACCGATGTTTCGTAGATGCATTGCCATGAAACAGTCAAACTTTTTCTAACCTGGACACAACACCCCTGAAGACGGGCTTCAGAAGCATCAACGGGATTTTAGAGGTAACCCCCGATCCCCCCCCCCCTCCACCAGGCCCCCTACTTAATGCAACACGCCTACATTGCGACCTGCGCTACTTGCGAAGTGACGTTTTCGCACTTGGCGATCTGCGACATGAAGTACTTCTCGTACCTGGGCAGAAAAAAAAAAAAAGGGGCATGAAACGCGGCGGAACGTTGCGAAACGACAAGAGAAATGGGGGTCGGGTTAGAGAGAGAGTGCGCACCAAATTTCTTGGGACATGCTGCCAACCAAGCAGAGAACACCAGCACCAACAACTTTCTACAGCGACCGACAGCCATGATGCTGAAACCATGCCGACACGACAGAAGCCAACAGCACCAACCAACCTTTGCACCAACAACAAACACTACAATAATAACAAAACAACGAAGTCGTGAACACGACGATATTTCTTCCCCGGCATCGGTGCTTCGGGTTCAGCAGCAGTGTTTCCAAAACGTGCTTCGTAGCTCACTTGCCACTCCTGTGTGTCCGTCATTCCGAGATATTGTCGCCGGCGGGCGTTCGAGCTCACCATAGCGCACCATCAGGGCAACAAGGAAAAACGTTACCATATCCAAGCATCCATCTCGGCAAGCAAAACTGCTACCGTATTCCAAGCATCCATTTCCGCAAGTAAAACGGCTCCGATAGCAATATGGGAAAGTCGGGTTCCTCAGTTTTGGGTGTTTTCTAATTTTAATTTCTGGGGATGTGATACATCTAAGATGCGGGTAGGTTGGGTTTTTCGTATCTGGGTACACTTTCTAATTTTAGTTTCTGGGGACGTGATACATCTAAGATGCGGGTAGGTTGGGTTTTTCGTATCGGGGTACTTTCTAATTTTAATTTCTGGGGACGTGATACATCTAAGCGTCCATCTCAGGCACAAGCACGCACCCCTGTTGTTCCCTTGCATCCGCTTCGTCGATGACGACCGTCTTGTCCTCCACGAAGAAGTTAAAGTCCATGGCGAACGACGGCTTGCCCTCCAGGAGAGACGTGTCCCCAGACATGCCCCAGTCCATCTTGCACACACGCAAACACGCACGTGGAGAAAACAACACAACGCGAAAAAAAATTGTTTGGAAACAGCGTGAGCAGGCATGCCCCCCGTCCATCTTGCACACAGACACGCGCGCGTTGTGGAAACGAAACAACGCGAAAAAATGTTGCAACAAGTGTGAAAAGACGCGCCGCAGTCACGTACGTGGAGAAAACAACGCGGAAAAAAATGTTTGGAAACAGTGTGAAGAGGCATGCCCCCAGTCCATCTTGCACACACGGAAACACACGCGTGGAAACAACTCCGGAAAAGCTGTGTCTGAACAGCGTGAAAAGAGGTCATCAATCGACCCCGACAGACAGACGTTGGGAGATTGTCCCCGTCACGAAGGGCATCTCCTAAGAACAGCCACAGCAAAAGAAAATCGACAAGTGGAACAACTGGGGGAGAGTAGAAAGAAGACAACGTCATACCGCATGAAAACAAAAAGCACAACCAACCACGACCCTGGGGAACAAAAGAAACCGACGCGCTTTTGAAATAAACAACAACAAACATCATCTCATGTACCTGTGTGAGCTTGTGTTTCATCGACACGAGCTGCGCGCTGAACTGCTCCTCGTCGAGGTCGTTGAATCTGGCGATCTTCTCCAGGCCGATGGTGGTGTAGAGCTTCAGGTAAGATCGGATCTGCGGGAACAGGATCTGCTGCTTCACCTCCTCCATAAAGAGCTGCGTCTGTTTAATGAACGTCGTTCGGGACAGAAAATCACGAAAGGCCGAGAGAGAAAAAACATACAAGTCACACAGAAAGAACGACGAAGAGCGTGAGTTGCGAGGCCGTTCCTTACACAGCAAGAACCAATCGAGTAAAAATCGAACGTATTGTAGCAAGACCCCAAACGAGAACACACACAGCAGTGGTGGAATGGATCATCACCGGTGTCCGACGGCCGATCAGAACCCGACAAACTAGCACTACCAGAACACCCATCAAGCTAACCCTTGACAATTATCCATCGAATTCAACAAACTAACATTACCACCTCAACTCCCATCAAGCTAACTCTTCACATCCAGTAACCAGAACCAGAACTCGCATGCAAAACCAAGAATGGGGACACGAGACAGCACATATATGTATATGTCGGAGCTTCCACCGGAGAACCCATCGTACTCTACCTAATCTTAATGCTGTTGTCTTCCTTGTGGACGCCTTAGCCAAGCACCACAACTCCTAGAGGAGTTTGGGGTTCTCCTCCTGGCAAGACTTAAAGCACAGACGGAACACCCACCTGCATCTCGTAGAACTCTCGGCTGCCGACGGAGCACACGAACTTGGGCGACGCCCACGAGAAGAGGTCGCGGAAGGCCTGGTCGTCCCCCTTGGCCATCTTGGCCAGCTTGTCCCGGTGTGTGTCCTGCATCTTAGACTGCATCTGTGCGCGAACCACACCCGAGAAACAGAAAAAAAAAAAAAGGAGAGAGAGGCCTGGGTCAACCATGTGTCCGCAGCAGCAGCAGCTGGAGCAGCAGCGGTAGCGTTGTGCATGCAGAGGGGCGGGGGCGTACTCATGTTTTGCATGACTTAGCGGTTATACCATCGGCTGCGTGTCCTCGAGAGGACGGAGGAGCATTGATCCCACAGGACCGATCACCGATGGCCAATCGCTCCTTCCTGCTTGGCCAAATGTGCCTCAAAAATGTTTCCCCTATCCTATATACAGGAGGGGGGGGGGGTACTCATAGTCGTGCATGCCGTAGTTGTTAGACCATGGACCTCGCATCCCTACAAAGCCGGGACGGAGCACGTTTCCCCTATCCTATACTTCTATATAGGAGTGGGGGAGGGGTAAATAGGACACCACAATACGCCCCCAAAGAGAGAGGACTTTCACTAAAACCAACGCAGCAAGCTATCCATCATATAGCTTCCGCACTCACCCAGCTACCATTTTACTGCTGCACTAACCTGTTCGTCGATCTTGGCCCCAGGGGCCAAGCTGGTGGCGATGGCCATGAGTGCCATCATCTTGTCGGCGGTCTTGGGCACCTCGTCCTGGTAGCCCGATCGCTGCAACTGCCCGCTGCGGTTGGCACGGCCCACGTGCACCAGCGCCTGACGAGGAAACGCAAACAACAACAACAACAACAACATGTTGAACCTGGGGGGGGCGAATGTCGTGCAACAAGTCAACCCTAGTTTTAGTCAGTGTGAGAAGACTTGGGGGTAGTTTAATCGCAGTGTATATGTTGAGGCGTGATGGAATGGACTTGTGAATGACGGCTCTGGGAGCAGGGTTGGAATTAGTTCTGGTTGAGATATCGTCAAATCAGGTCATGAAAAGTGTATGAGATGGAGACTAGAATTGAGAAAGTGTTGGTTCTTGGATGGAATGATGAGCTTGTGAGGGAATTGCAGGTAACTGAGAGAGAGAGAGAGAGAGAGAGAGAGAGTTGGAGAGAGAAAGAAGCGGCGTAATTGGATAGATACAGGTGCAATCGGGCCAGCTGCTAGCGTGGGTACGGAGGCGGAAGGGGGACGAAGGAGTGTGGCGGCGCTACTGGCGGTGCGGCGGCGGCAGCGGCGGGGGGGGGGGGGCGTACTCATGTAAAAACGCCTGGCGTCCCCCAAAAAACCTTGGGCCCCCCTGGCTAAAAGGCCCGGACGGAAGGGGGGGGGGGGGGGATAAAAACAAACTTTTTAAGGGGGGGAAAATAAGTGGGCCTGGGGTCGGTTTCCGGGCAGCTTTTGGGGCGAAAAAACCAAAACTGGGATA